ATCTTTTATCTTGTATTCTATTTTATCTATATTGAATTTGTATATGATTCTCAATCTATTTGACTCTAGACAGATTTATAATTATAAAAGAGAGTAAATATAATATATATATATATTCTAAAAAATATAAATAAATTGTAGACAATAGAAATTCATGAATTCAAAAAAAAAATAGATTACAACAATTTTCTCTTCGTGAAATTCAAATATAAGTTATAAAACGCATATGCGTTATATTCGAAGCGCCCTTGTATTCGAAGAAAAGGGTCTAACCTTCCAAAAAACGCTTTTTTTGGAAAACTCATACGCAACGCATATGCGTTATGTTCGGGGGAAGACGGTAGCACATTAGTATCCCCTCAGATGGCATATTCCCTTCCAAGTTTCTAAACTTCACACTTTGGTTACACGTGTCACTGTCTATGTGGATGTTGACCATCGATCTTGAACATCTCACAAATCAGAGCTGAAGTGAGTGCTCAGCAAAGGCACACATCACAGAGCACCTTACCTTGTTGCAATTCATCTCCTCCGCTTCGAAACAACAAAAAGTAAGACTACTAACAAATACAAATACAGGACTGAGGACGTGAGGGGAAAGCAAAACATTGAAAACTTAAAATGCAGTGATGTCTAGGTGGAGATGGAAGGCAGAAGGGAACGAAGAGGTAAGACATCATCGAGTCCATGCAGCTCGCACACTTTCCTCCGGAGAAACAGTAAATCCCGAGCGTGATCAGGTCTCAAATATTTGCAATAGAACAGCACCCAATATACCAGCGATCAAAGTTCATCATGAAACACTACCGTCTTCCCCCGAACATAGTGCAGATGTGTTATATTCGAGTTATTGAAAAGCATCGACGATTGGTATAGAACGCATATGCGTTGTACTCGAATATTCCAGCTGTTCGAATTGAACGTGTATGCTTTGTATTCGAATAGAAAGCAGCCTATGTTCTCTATTCTTCTACAAACGCATATGAGTTATGCTCGAGGGAAGACGGTAGCCCTGTTGATGGTAGCCAAGGGGTCTCTTAAATCCCTCGCCCCAAAGAGTACACAGGCACAAAATATTGAAACAACCCCATGCAACAGCACTGCAGGCGTAGCAGCAACAACAGCGACCTTTTTTTCTCTTCTTCTTACTTTTTACAGTTTTTTTCCTTTTCTTACTTTTTTTCTTTTCTTCTTATTTTTGGTAATAACCACCTCAAGCAGCAGAAGAAAAATAACAAAAAGTGAGAGGATGAAATGGAGGAACCGGCGAAGACAACAACGAGAACAGGAGGAGGAGGAGGAGGAGGAGGAATAGGAGGAGGCCATGGGGACAAAACACAAAACAGTAGTTTGATGACGTTGAAGGCATGGAGAAGGAAGGATGCACACCTTGGGCTTCTGGCTCATAGGCTGTTAATTTTTCATCAACAAACTTCCGGTACGTCAACGAGTCTCCGTTGTCTATGGCTTTGACCAACTTACGTGTCGCATCAAGAACGTCAGCCTGCGAAAAAAAAAAAAAAAAAAACACGCACAGTTCATGCACTTCAACTCACAGATACACACTTTCACAAGGGGGAAGGGGGGGGGGGGGGGGGGGGGGGGGGGGGGGGGGGGGGGGGGAGGTACCAGGCCTCGCATATCCCTGCCCTTCATGGACCGACACATGTGGCAAATCCAAATGATTTCCGCAACTCCGTTAAAATTACGCAGAAACGATGAGAAATATATATTTGGTATTTAGTAAAATTTGCCCAGAAATATCTGTTTCGTTGGCTGTTTTGTCACAAACATGTCTACCTTCACAAGTCGCTTTATACTGCAAGCACTTCAAGTCTGTCTTTTTCTCCCGAATGTTATGTGATTATTTAGCTCCAAGCGATCTGCGTTTCTGATCTCTGTGACTAGGTGCAAAGCGACAGCGGGTATACAGAACTCGCTGATTTTTTTATTCGGACTGCGGCGTCACCTGCCTCTGGACACCCAGATCAAGATCCTGGTGACCCTGGGCCTGGCAGACATCAGTTCCGATAACCTACAGCACAACGTTACAACCAAGGATGAGAGGGGCTTTTAAAAATTTGGGGGGGGTGGGGGGGGGAGGCACAAAGAAAGAAAAAAAGTTAAAACAACCTCCTCCTGTAGACATCAAAGACTATCGAGTAGTTTTAGCCATCCTATTATCCTAATCATTTGCAAAAAAAGACATTAGCTCTCTCTCTCTCTCTCTCTCTCTCTCTCTCTCTCTCTCTCTCTCATCCCGTCTACCTTCCTCTGCATGCCTTCTATTGCACCCCTGTTGCCCCCCTTCTCTCTCTCTCTCTCTCTCTCTCTCTCTCTCTCTCTCTCTCTCTCTCTCTCTCTCTCTCTCTCTNCTCTCTCTCTCTCTCTCTCTCTCTCTCTCTCTCTCTCTCTCTCTCTCTCTCTCTCTCTCTCACACACACACACACACACACACACACACGCATGGGCGTATGTTCATTTTGTTTTCTTCCCCGGTTGCATTCCTCACTTTACATCTCTTGCTTCCTCTCCGTGTCTGCTTTTGTGTGCGGGTGCTCCTCTGTGCAGTTGATCATCATTGACAGATACTGGTTAAAATGGGCATACCTCTAAAAACTTGGTGAAGTAAGGTTTAATGTTTGTGAAGACCATGTCTGGCGGATACGTTGACTTGACCTGTCGCAGCACGAGGTCCAACCAAAAGCAGGGTGTTAGGGAGCACATGAGCGTATTTCTCAAACACCACACAGAATTGTGAAACACCCATTGAAAAACAGGTATGGAATCGGTAGACCTAAGAATTTTGAAAAGAGCACCGAAAATCACACAAAGCAGAAATTGCAATTGACATTGGGACTTGGTGTTCTCATGGTAATTGGTAATTCCGAGCGAACGAGCACGTACAGAGGGACATACGAAAGAGTAAAAAAGAGACAGATGCTCTCGCCCTCGCCACACAACTCACCGAGCATCAAACTTGGCGAGTGTATTCTTCCAATGATAATGTCAAGATACATTCGCCGCCGCTTATCGCAGTTGGTGAGGGGTGGACCGAGGCCCAGCATCAGAGAGGTCATGTGTCTATGGGACACGGAGGAAGTGACCGCTGACCGCTGACCAAGCGAAGCCATAGGCAGGGAAGAAATGACCGACCGCTGACCAAGCGAAGCCAACAAGCCATACATCCAGGGAGATCGAGAGTAGTAGATGAACAACTCCCGTAATCCAACGACAATTCAGGAAATGAATATAGAAATTTTAAATAAATTTGTCTGAAACTGACTCTTGTGTGTCTAGGTAATGCAAGGCAGAGCTGACACTTATCTCACCCTCTCTCTGAGCCTGTCTCTTATACACATCTAGATGTGTATAAGAGACAGCCCTTACATTCTCATTTAATTTGTAGGCAGGACGGTCGAGCGTGCTGCAGGCCATGGGCTGGCCGCGCCCACACCCAGGCGTTTAGGCAGGCCAGCCAGCCAATCAGCCGCACGAGCGGTATGTACGTCAGGGTTCCGCAGTCAAAAATAATCTTTGGAAAACATAAAATCGATTCTTGGGAAAATAATTTTCTCTTTTGAAGCTAAGGTTACTAGGTCCACCCAGGCGGGGTGTCGGCCCGGCCATTCCAGTCGGACCAGAAAGTGCCCAATAATTTTGGTTTTTTTAACTTTTTTTTGGGGTTATCTTCAAAATAAAGCAGCATTTGGAGATGACCGTCAGCCAAACGTTGTTTGTCCTATCATCTTACACAACATGCGTTCTTTTGGATTTATTTTTTACCTCCTTTTTTTTTAATTTTCCATATTTTTTCCCAATTTTTGCGCTGGCACTGCCTTGCACCTTGCCCTGCTAGACCCTTGGGGTCCCAAGTCGCCCCCAGATCGTAATATTATTTATAGTTTTAAACTCTGTTCCGAATCCCGATTTGCACCTCTCCAAGTCCAAGATTCAGATCTCTCTTTTCTCACCTTTCGCACTTTTGCAAGCCTCTCATAATAATCCACAACGGGGACACTCTGGCAAGAGAACACCTGCGAAACAAACAACCGATGACAAGATTAAGAAATCGAAGTCAAAAGTTTTATTCAAATCAGAAAGTTAGATAGGAAGTTAATTAGTTAGAAAGTTAGAAACCCTTAAATCGCGTCCTTCGGAACATCCGTTAAAATTGGAACGATACAGAGAAGATTAGCATGGGCCCTGCACAAAAAAAAAAAAAAAAAAAAAAAAAAAAAAAAAAAAAAAAACTTCAATCGCCCATGATTTGAAAGAACATCCATCACCATCGACTTTTTCAAGAGCTTTTCTCATGTCCTTTATCGGCACACAATTTGACTGTGAAACGTGAAAAGAACTCTTAGCCGTAAAAACACTTTCTGGCTGCTCATACTCCTATTTGCACAGATTTCCACAATCCCATTCCAACTTTACAAGCATGCCCTTCATGCGACTCCCTAAACCCTAAACTGTACAACACTTTCTGGAATCTCCTACAGCTACAACTACTGACCCTATTCTCATCACTTCAACACCTGATTCATTGTTCATTCTTCGTTCTACTTCATTCATTCTGTAATTTCTTAGGAATGTGTTGCAATGACACGAAGCACAAGTTTCTTGTTCTTCTTCTTCTTCTTCTTCTTCTTCTTCTTCTTCTTCTTGCTCTTCTTCTTGTTGCTCTTCTTCTTCTTGTTGCTCTTCTTCTTCTTGTTGCTCTTCTTCTTCGTCGTCTTCTTCTTCGTCTTCTTCTTCTTCTTCTTCTTCATGCTGTTTTCTTCTCTTTTTCCATTTCTCCTTGTGGCAACACATGTCCTTGGTTCACTTCACACATAGATCACCAGAAGATGGAACATAATAAAATTAGTAAATTACCCCTTAAACCACTGGTACCGCCGAGCCTGTTTTTGCCGACCCTGAATTTCACTGCGCTCCGAGTTTGCCGAGCCTGGGTACCACTCCGTTTTCTTTCTGGTACTCAAAACAAAAAAAGAAAAAAAAAAGAGTTGCGGCCGTGAACCTCAGAAAAGAAGAAGAAGAAAAGGAAACAAAGCTTTGGTCGTGATTGCAGTTGTATACATTCTTGGAAGTGGTATTGTGAGTGTGCCCTCAGTGAGGGCATCTCAGCCCCGTGGCCAGCTTGTCAGATTCGAAAAAGAGAATAGAAGGGGAAAAAAACGGGCATACGGATCTGGTCATGAAACGGGCTGGATACATTCCCCTAAGTGCCAGTATGATGAGCGTTACAATCCTCTGACAAAACACAGTTTGAGCAGATCACGGACGGCTTGAGCAATTCACGGATTCCGCCCTGCCTCGTTGGTAGGGGACTCATAAGAAACACACGACCAAGTAAAAAACGAAGACAGTCACATTCAGTATGTGACCACCTTACCGGTAAGGTGCATTCTGTGGAGGAAGACTGTGAGCGCAGCCTCCTAGACTACCCTGCCCGACACCATTGCAATAGAGAAAGGATTTTCGTTTTTTGCTTTTTCCTTTCACTCGCGGCACTACAAAATTCAGCGTTATGGGACATTGCCGACCCTGTGTCGTCCCATCCCCCGATTTCTTCGGGAACTGGCAAAACCTCGTAATTTCCCAACACTGGCGGAGGTACTAGGGGTTTAATACCCCTTATTTAAAAAATCCCATAAGACTGACTGGTACCGTGTGCACCCACGTAACCATTCCGAGTGCGGGTCCTGACATAATCAGATGAGCATACTAAAATTACCGCTTATTTATAGAAAAAAGGTGCCATCTTCCCTTTCCTCATAAAGGCAAAGACAATATAAAAAGCTGATGTCTCAAGAGCCACCAACGCCAAGGGATAATAGTACTATAATAATAATAGTAACTAGAAAATAGAAAAAATAAAAATAAAAAAGAGAGTACACATAACTATACAAGCACACAACATCAGGATTCCAGAATTACTCACCTTGAACCGCTTTCGGATGGTCTCAACATTATCATCAACTCGTCCCTGGAGAGAAAGGCGAAACATCAACACAAAGGACGGACAAAGTTAAAAACATGGACTGCTGAGCACCGCACCCAATGATTTGTCATATATAACTTCTTAAAGCAAGCACCACTACTTTTCCCTCATATCGGCCGCGGGGTGGGTTCCCCGGACAGATCGGAGGGCTAAATGAGATGGTGGCCGCCGATGAAATTGCTCAACCGCGGCCGCTCGCCGGTTCGGCGCAGCCCCTGAAATCTGCAGTGTAGGCTATATATATCCATTTTTGCGAAAAGCGGGATTCGTTCTTCTTCAAGGGCGATGGCCGTGAGACACCACGTACCTGCGCACATTTGGCGCCCACACCATCTATAGATGGCCCGTTGGCGCCTCCGAGCTTACCATTAGCGGACATGGCTAATGTTCATATGGGAAGGAGAGACAGGGGAGGCGCAGCAACTGGCGATATGTTCGGTCCTCCACCCTGACTGAGAAGGACACGTCCTGTAACTCCTGTCAGATTATTAGAGTCATTAGAAAGAAAAAGATAGATTTTAGCTGGGATGGTTACTTTGAACGTCGTTGATAACAGCTAAAGTATGAAAATTTCCAAAAATATTACACAGGGCAACAGTCAAAATATCAATTGCCGTTCTACGACCCCAAAAAAAAAAACAAAAAAAAAAAAAAAACAAACAAACAAACAAACACGGCAGGCTTTTCTGGCTGCATTTGAGCATGTGTTTTCTTTTCTAAAACAACTTGGACCACTCCTTGATTTACGACTGCCATTCTTGAGTGTGTGCAAGGGCCATTTGCTAATATACCCTTCTCTGTTGCAAGGGCCATTTGCTAATATACCCTTCTCTGTTGCAAGGGCCATTTGCTAATATACCCTTCTCTGTATCGTTCCAATTTTAACGAATGTCCCAAAGGATGACACGCATTTGAGCATGAGCAAGCGATCATCTGACTCACTGTATCATTATCGAGACCACCATGCATGTGGTCATTTCAGCATGGTAATCAGGGCCCTGTTAAAGGGCCCATAGTGAAACCCAGGTTAAAAAAAACAGAGGTTGAAAAATGTTGGAAGTTAAAACACTCAACCTTGAGAACAAATGACAGCACCAGTGTAGCTCCATGGTGGGTGAAATGATACACACTTAAAAAGTTGATTTGACTGTTCATAAACAGGTGATGATTCGGCACTGATGTAGAGATTGAAGTCCTTCCGGCACGGAATAATGTCAGTGGGGCTTTCTTGCTTCCTAAGCGTTTGACGACGGAATACTAAATTGATTTAGGCAAGCTCAGTAGAAAGTTCACAGTGCTTCATAGCCAGGTTCCTTGGCTTGGCGTGAGCTGGCAAAATCGACATCATCGTACCTCCCCACGGTTCAGCAGTCTCTTCTCCATGACATCTTCAGGACAATCGAAAAAAAGAACGAATTCCGGAATGATGCCCGTCTGGACAAGAGAAAACAGAAAAATCAAGGATTTAGTCAGCACCAAGATAAAAGAAATGAAAAAAAAAAAAAAAAACTTGAGAAAAGAGAAAAGATAACAGTGGGAAGAGAGGGGGCAAAAGGAGGACAAGGGGGAGGACAGAGCCACCGTTTCTACTCGTTTCTACTTTGCCAAGTAGAAACAAATGAGAGGAAAGAGATGAAGAAGAGACCACTTCCATTCCCGCACAACCATTTCATATAAAAGGATTTACGACTATATAAAGATAATAAAACTTTGTTGTCGTAACTTTTTTGTAATTTTATACTCCTTTACCCGGTTAATGTTGAATAGATGGGAGCCGATTTGAACTAACGGAATTGAATTTCAATTGGTCAGCCATCCAACCCAATTTCGTCAGGTCCAATTTCCTGTTTAGGCTATTCAGTATTTATTATTTTTAGCCCATTATCCGAACCGATTTCTGCAGCAGAAAGAGGTTAGGAGAAATGACGAGCATTTGGACACAAAGATTTAAAAAGGGGTAACACTAGGGTGCAGTCACAATTTCAGTTTTAAAATTTAAATCCAGTTCAGGCATCCCTCGAATACAACACATCCCCACCAGGCCCTGAAGCTGGGTTGCATACATTCACGATTTTCCTCGTGTTGACACAATATTTGCAAAATTGTGACTGAAACGCATTTTCAAACTGAAATGGTTCCCAGATTTAAAAGTTTGGAGTCTTTGGACACTTTATCTTGTTGTTAGGCAACATGATTTAATCAGTTAACATATTAGTACTGCCAGTAAGGTAACAATTTTTTTTTTCCAACGATCAACCGATTTGAGAGTCTACACAGACCACTCGGACGGGCAAAAATACCGAATTAGTGGGAGCAGTTTTGCATGTTCGTCACAAGCTTCTGAATAGATGAGCCTGCTTCTCCCAGAGACTGCCCACCTTGAACCACGTCTCCATCAACTTTGCCAAAGTTGCGTGTCACCTGTCTAATCCATCCTTGGCACACATCGGCAGTGATTACCAAAGGACCGGTGTGCAAGACCAGTACGCAGCACGTGAACACACAGCGTGCAAGGCACGAGCATGGATGCTCGACAGGACAAAGCATGCAGGTGAGACAAGGACGCAGGTGCGAGCAACACGCAGGCGAGAGCAGGACGCACGTGAGAGCAACACGCATGCCAGAGCAGGACGGACGTGAGAGCAACACGCAGGCGAGAGCAGGACGCACGTGAGAGCAGGTACGCAACAGCACTCAGGTGAAAACATGCAGGTGAAAACATGCAGGTGAAAACATGCAGGTGAAAACATGCAGGTGAAAACATGCAGGTGAGAGCACATGATGCAGGCAGCACGCAGGTGAGAGCAGGACGCACGATTTTCCGTGGGCCACCCCAATTTACGAGTTCGGCAGTCTAGATTGTTCAGTGGCTTGATGTAATGCATAAAGAGTCCGTCCAGCGGCTCCAGCCTACTAGAACACCTGTCCGTATCGATTCACTGGACGTCGGATTTTAATCTCCCGCTGGAACCCGGTGGAACCGCGAATTTAATGGCAAAAAAAAAAAAAAAAACTCACCACTCTCTCAAATGTCAATCGATTATCTTCATCCCTTGGAAAACCATCAATCAAAAATTTGTTCTTGCCGCTCTTCGCCATTGCTGCCTGGAGGAGACCGACTGTCACTTCAGCTGGTACAATCTTCCCTTCCTTCATCATATTCTGGAGCATCACCCTGATCATCACAGATAATTCAGGGAAAGTTCAGAGAAAACGACGCAGATAGTTCATGGACGGTTCTAAACCACCAGTACAGTACATGGCCCCAGGCAACTGGAGAATCTGTTTTGAGCCTCTCCGAACATCTAGGAGGCCGAGCGCCGTAGATAAAATGAATCGGCGGTGGGCGGCCTCCAAAAGGAGGCCCGCAGCCAATAGCTGGCACGCACTGGTGCTTTAAGAAACACAACACATAAATCTTTGATAATTTTGACGAACAGAGAAGGTGAGCCATGGACAGTTTCCAATTTCTTTAACGAAATTAAAACCTTCTTATGTATTTGGCGGCGAATTTTGGCCCAAATAAGAAATTGAAACCTTCTTATATATTTGGCCCAAATAAGAAATTGAAACCTTCTTAATAGTTCTTAATACTTCTTATATATTTGGCCCAAATAAAAAATTGTCACCGTCTGAGAATGCTGGACTCCACTTGGATGTATCTGGACTTCAGCTAAGTCCAGATGGGCCCTCAGGAGCTAAAACGGCAACATTTCTAGGTCCAAATAAGTAGGTTTCGATTTCGTTCAAAAGATATAAAATGTCCGTTTCAAACAAAATGGCTGTCCTATGGATAGCTTTCAGAAACATATGGGCCTGGATTGTTTGTTCGTGAAATTTGCAACGACATTGCTTGTTGTGATGCAGCAAAAAACCCCGAATTTGGAGCCTTCCGTTAACCATCTCTCAAATAGCGCAGACGAGCCATGGATAGTCCCGCAACAAAGAGGAGATAAGTCATGGATAGTTCTAAGACAGAGAGGAGATGAGTCATGGACAGTTTTGAGAAATAGAGCAGACAGCTTCTGATTTTCTTCTCCTGCAAGAACCGGGGACTCCCTCTTGTTTCAACAAGAATGTTTAGAAAAGAAAGGCATTTTAACTCACTCTCTCTCTCTCTCTCTCTCTCTCTCTCTCTCTCTCTCTCTCTCTCTCTCNACTGGACTGGGACTCTCTAGACCCTTCTGCTGACTGTAGGCAGTCGTATCGTCGACTCAGTGCAGTTGCACTGAGGTCCTACCTGTTGACCTTGCCACTTGTCTTCGTCTGAAAACGTGGGCCTACCTTAGACTCACCACTTGCCGACCTTCTAGAAGGACTAAAGCTAGGCCTCTGTACTCTACTTGGACTCCTACGTTACAGGTCTACAGTTCGAATCTCCCTACAGCCTACAACCTACGGCGACCTACTTACCACTGGCTATCGTGCAGGTCACGGGTTCAACTCCAGGGAACTGTGCAGATACTACACAGGTAAGCTGAGGTCAAGGGATCGACCCCTGGGATCTGCATCGGCTACTGCCAAAGGTGAAAACTGTTTCAGCCCTGGCCCTTCCAGAGAGTCCACACGTAGGGAGAACGAATCTTCCCCTTGAATATGGAAAGATACACCACCATATTTYTTGTCTTTGTGCKTGTWGAGATTAGCAGGGCGCGCCTGCYCCGTATCTGTATTCGAACGTAGGCGGAGGGGCGAAAAGCGCAACCAACACTTTTCATGTGTACTTATAGTCTAACATGGGCGGAGGGCAGGGGAAAGAAAAARAAGYGCGTCCCGCACTTTTCATTRGGCCGCGCCRGCTTCCCGGCCTTTGTTCCCAACACTGGCGCTCCGGGCCTCGCGGGAGCATTACGTGAGACCCGCGATCGCTTTAAGAGTATAGAGGTATATATTGTCACATATATCTATGAACTAAAAGAGTGGACTTTGCGAAACAAACGGTAAAAGTAAAAAACAAAACAAGAGGATGCCAGCCGCGTCCGCAGCGGGACCAAGAGCAGGGAAAAATAAAACAAAAACAATGCTCTCTCTCTCTCTCTCTCTCTCTCTCTCTCTCTCTCTCTCTCTCTCTCTTGTGTGTTGGCATATGGGTATGTGAAGTAGGTGTACAGCAGCCGCCGTCTGTATCAAGCACTGGCCACCACAAACACGGCTGCTCCCCCAGTTAAAGGCCACCTCACCAAGAGCAAGTGACATGACAAGGAAATCGATGGGCTTGTGAACTCGATGATCCAGGCAAAAGGTTCAAACGAGCTGATATCACGTATGGACTGTGATCCAAGATCCGAGACCGAGTACGAGTGGTCCTGCTCCAAAGCAGGAAAGAGAGTTGTGGGAAGTGGAAAAGAATACAGGGGGAACGGTATTTAAAAAAGACCAAGAAAGGGCCAAGTCCCAAGTCCCAAGTCCCATACTGCTGCTCGTCCCTGCACCATCAGCCAGGGGTGGGTTTCATAATCACTGAACACATCACGATGGTAAGAAGCACTGTACCCATGCTCAGATCCTGACGCCACCTCTGCCCGTAGAAGATCCCCGGCACTAAGATGAACAAACCCATAGTTTTCCACAATCCTGGCACACTGCGTCCCTTTTCCACTTCCGGGCCCACCTGATCCACACCCAATAATCACACAGATGAATTTTCCAGACCCAATAGTCAGCAGCAATTTTGAGGACAACGAGGGAAGACAACGGCAAGTACATCTCAAGTTAGACTATATCATCCAGCCAGCAAATCAGAAAACCAGAATCAGGGGGTCACTCTATTGCCCCACCTAAGGGTTATTGTTTTTTTTTTTTTTTTTTTTTTTTTTTTTTTTTTTTTTTTTTTTTTTTTTTTTTTTTTTTTTTTTTTAATTGTAGCCAGTTAGGTTATAAGATATTTGCTTGTGGTATCTCCAATTATTATTTGATTGTATTTCATCTGACCCCCTGTTGTATCGAACACCTCTAAGGCGGTCTGATCAACCCTGTTCTATCTGTGCAAGTGAGCAAGCTGTCTAGCACGAACAAATGCCAACCATGCATCTTAAAATTACTCTCTCCCTGACCATGAATGCCCCAAAAGTTTGCACCGTATAAGAAGTGAACTTCACCTCAGCTCAAAATCCAAACATGTTTCCCTGCGGGAAAAGAACATCCTATATATCGTCAAACAGAGCTGCCCGGTAAACCATAGGCAGAGAGGGAGACGAGGACAACAAACGAGGGGCTGTGACAAACTGTTTCGTCGGAGACATATATATATACTGTTTGATGATATATATATCGTCACAAACAGAACTGCCCGGTATATATATATATATATATATAGTCAAACAGAGCTGCCCGTTAGGCAGAGAGGGAGAAGAGGACAACCGAGGGGCTGTGACAAACTGTTTCATCGGAGATTCACCGACTCATCAGGAGGCTGAACCCCATATATATCGTCAAACGATATATATATATATGAGGGTTCAGCCTCCTGATGAGTCGGTGAAACTCCGACTAAACAGTTTGTCACAGCCCCTCGTTTGTTGTCCTCTTCTCTCTCTCTGCCTACGGTTTACCGGGCAGTTCTGTTTGTAATATATATATCGTCAAATAGAACTGCCCGGTAAACCGTAGGCAGAGAG